CGGGAATGTGACACTTTGGGACCCCCGGGATGTGACCGCAGCTTCGCCCCGCATTCCCGGAGCTCCTCAAGGATCCGCCCCGCACCAAAAGCGCTCCGAGAGCACCAAACCGGGGCAAAAAACGGGAATGTGGCACTTGGGGACACCCGGAATGTGACCGCAGCTCCGGTCCGGATCCTTTCCCCATTCTCGGAGCTCCTCAAGGCCCGGCCCCGCACCCGGGAGCGCTCCCGGACCGCCCCAAAGCGGGTGAGAACGCGGAGAATTCAGCAGCGGAGCAGCGCCCCGAGCAGCAGCAGCAGCAGCAGCAGCCCCTGGCGCACTCGGGGCTCGGCCGCTCCGCTCCGCACGTGGTAAACGATGAGCAGCTGCTCCGCGCCGCCCGCCGCCTCCGCCTCGGCGCGCTCGGAGCAGGGCGGCTGCCCGGCGCGGGGGTCATCGCGGGGCAGCTCCTCGGCCGGATCGGCCGAACCGGACAGCGCCACGTTGACCGACACGTCGCGCACGCCCAGCTCGTTGACCGCCAGGCACGTGTAGGTGCCCTCGTCGTCCTTGCCGAAGTCGGGCACGGCCATGGTGCCGTTCTTGAAGGCCCGCCAGCGGCCCGGCCCCGCCGTGGGCCCGCGGATCTCCACGCGGCGGCCCGAGGAGGTGCGGATGCTCCAGTGGATCTCCGGAGCGGGAGCCCCGGCCACGCTGCAGTGCAGGGTGAGCGTGAGCCCGTCCTGAGCTCCGGCCAGCCCCGCGCTGCCCAGGTAGGTGAGGTGCGCGGACGGCGGCACGCAGAGCTCCGCGGGCATGGCCGTCACCTGGCGGCCGCGGAGCCGCGCCGGGGCCGCGCACAGCGTGGAGCCGGGCCTGGCCAGCGCCACGGAGCCGCCGCGGAGCCAGCGGGAGAGCCACCAGAGCTTGCAGGAGCACTCGAACGGGTTGTGGAAGAGCTGCAGCTGCGCCAGCGCCGGCAGCGCCTCCAGCGTGCCCTCGGCCAGCACGCTCAGCTCGTTGTCGTTGAGCCACAGCGAGCGCAGCTGCCGCAGCTCCGCGAAGGCGTCGCGGTCCACCCGCGCCAGGCGGTTGTGGTCCAGCCGCAGGATCTGCAGCGCGCTCAGGTTGCGCAGGTCCCTCCACGGGAACTCCTCCAGCCGGTTGTGGCTCAGGTCCAGGTTGCGGAGCTGCGGCAGCGCCGCCAGCGCTCCGGGCTCCACGGCGGAGATGCGGTTGTAGCCCAGCCACAGCGACTGCAGCTCGGGAGCCTCGGCCAGCGCCCCGCGGCCCAGGTGGCCCAGGCGGTTGGCGGACAGGGTGAGGATGGTGACATTCGGGGACAAACCCCGCGGCACCTCGCGCAGCTCGCGGTACGCGCACTCGGCCAGCAGCCGCCCGTTCCTCTTGGCCGAGCACGAGCAGGGGCTGGGGCAGCCCGCGGGTGGCACCGGCGGTGGCACCGGGGGTGGCACCGGGGACGGCTGAGGGGACAGCAGAGGCGACAGCAGCGCGGCCAGGGCCAGGCGGAGCGGCACGGAGCGGGGTTTGARCATCCTGAGATCCTGAGGGACACGGGGACAGCGGTCAGCGCGGCCGGGAGGGACCGGGAGCTCCGGACGGGAATGGGGGGAGAGGGGGGTGAGATTAAAATGGGAATAAATCAAGGAAAATGGGGATTGCTGGGCAAAATAGGGGAGAAAACTGGGAATTTCTGGACAAAAAGGGGTAAAAGCTGGGAATTCTGGGCAAAAAAGGGGTAAAGCTGGGGATTTCTGGGAAAAAAAGGGGGGAAATCTGGGGATTTCTGAGCAAAATAGGGATAAAAATTGGGAATTTCTGACCAAAACTGGGGGGAAATCTGGGGATTTATGGGCAAAAATGGGTAAAATCTGGGAATTTCTACCCAAAAAGGGGTAAAATCTGTGAATTTCTGCCCTAAACAGGGTAAAATATGGGAATTTCTGGGCAAAATAGGGGTCAAAAGGTGGGAATTCCTGCCCAACACGGCTCTATGGGGGTAAAACCTGGGAATTTCTGCCCAAAGCGGCCCTACAGA